AAAAGAATATTCAGAATACAGCATGTTGGTCCTCAGTAAAGATAATGACAGCCGCTTTGCTTTCAAGAGGTAGAATACCTTGAACATCAATACTCGTCGAAGCAAATCTAGAGAGTCCGTGCCGATTTGACATTTCTGGATGTTTACATTAATGCCGTGCCTCTACAGTCATTCGAAGACCAGGTCCAAATGCTGGAAATAAAATTCCCTTTGTGGACTTGCATGGACTTGAAGCCCGAAAAATCGTCATCGATGAATTTGTGGAAAGATTGTGCGGCATTTCTGAACTCGAAAGGTATGTGCATAAAATCATAGAGATCGAAAGGTGTGATCATAGCTGTTTTAACCATGTCGTCAGCAGCCATGGGAATCCGGTTATATGATTTAACCAAGTTGATTTTCCAAAAAAACGGATGTACCTTACAAGGTAGCTGTCGAATCGTGAATGTGAGACAATGGTTAACGATCAGAAATGGTATTTGTACTCAACCGCCGATAGTTATCAGTTGGAAGCCAGTCGCTGTTATTTTTATTAGGGACCATATGCACGGGAGATGCCCATTAGCTGTTTCATGGCCGAATTATCCATAAGTCTATCATATGATGGAATTCGTTTCTAGCCAAACGCAGCTTTTCGGGAGCTAGTCGACGCGCTTTCGAGAATACAGGTGATTCTGTAGTCGTGATGTGGTGTATAACATTGTTGATTACACACAACAATTGCGGTTACGTTTGGTATATTTCGCTGTATTTATCGAGTATCCACCACTGCGAGGACGTGTGCACGTGGGTATGCCACACCGTGATCGGAGAAGTCAGCTTCTAAGTAGAAGAACCAGGCTTCCATATTGTCGGATAAATATGGCATTAGCTGAAATGAGAGTGACGAAATAGCCTTGATCTTAAATAATTTAGGAGTCTGTAAAGTGTAGCAATGAACGAGAAAGGAGTATCCAAAAATTCCAAAATATGTGTCACAATATGTAAAAACCAAAGTAAAAATATGATATATAAAGTTTTATAGAGGAACAGACTCATAGTCTACGAATAGGTGTACCAGATCACGTCGTGCTCACTACTAAACATTCCACAAGTATCTGGAGTTTAACAACACCTTAACCAGTAACAACTTTTATGATTGGAACGTGCAGTCAATTCAGAAATCAGAAACGAGAAGGCTTGAAGATATGCTTGACAGAATATCGATTTATCGATGGGTATTCAATCTAAGCTGGCTAGCGTTGTAGCAGATGTGAGGAAAGGCGTACCCACTCGTGATTTGGTGTGGATTCATGATTGTGCACCTTCAGCTGGGTGAATCTGTAGGGTCAGTGATATTCCACTAAGCCCTAGCCAAATCATCCGGCAGTTGGGTCACTGATTATCGAGCAAATCATCGATTCTCGTCAAGGTCAAGGACAACCAACGCTCATCACTTAATCGTATGCCGTAGACTGACCCATGCGGCAGTGATCTTGGTTTCATTTGTATCTACTTCAACTAATATATTTCTGTAATAACGTCCTCTGTGTTGCACAGTCTTCAAAGCATCTATAGTACTTTTATACGTCAATGGGGTAGTCCACGTAAGGTGCTGACCACGAGGTGTGACTTCGACGTTAGCTAGTTTGTCACACCATTCACGTCCAACTCGAGTAGGCCTCCAATCATTTCGACATAGATCATCTACGTTGGTGATCTACAAATGCATTAAAGCTAATGCGGTCAGCAAGGTTATTGATTTTGGGGATTCATTTAAGACAACTGTCATATTAAAAATTGCCAAATCATCGCTGTTAAGTTGACAGCTACATTTGCTCGTAACCTTCAAGACGTTTTTGAAATTTCATAGAAGCTGAAATCATTCAGTCTAGAGCCACAATAAGATAGAGGGTTTTCTGAACCAAATAAGTTTTTGGAAGCTAACTGGGAATTCGAAGTGAATAAATTTCACATGTTTTCATTACAATCCTCAGGTAAACATAAACCCTTGCGTTCAGAAATATCATAAATGTGGTTACTCCTCGACATATATTTACGTACACCCCAGTGGAATTACTAAAATCAATAACAACAAAATCATGATTATCCAGCATGTGGGACTGAGTACTTCCCAAATTAAATTTGCAATATCAGACTGAAATATCATAAGTTTATAGGGGTCACTTGTCTTTGAGGACATATGACAGGTATTAGATGTGACTGGTTAGTCTGAGACTAATTTGTATTGACTCTTCAGAGGCTAGGTCTCAATCGCTGGCCTTTTAAATGAACTTATGGTATGGTCAGTATGGGTAGGTAATGGTAGCCCGTCACAAAGTAAACTATAATATATGATATGAACTTCAGGAAGAGATTATTTGAACCTACAACTTATGTAGGACCTTTAAAATATGCTAAAGTTTCCTGAAAAAGTACTGCTTTAGAGGGATTCTGTAAATAAACTATCAGTTATAGTGGAACGAAGACTGATGCAATCGGACGCAAACCAGAAGATAGAACTGCAGATAACGATTTTATCATCTACTAGCAAATCCAGGACCAACCGATAGAAATTTATAGAAAATGCATTGGTTTATATCTTATTCGTTTGTGGTTTGATAGACAGATTTAAGTGTAGTGAATTAGGTATTGCTCGACAAAAATCAGTAAAAAACCGAACGCATGTTTACATCTCACAACATCAAAACAGATTGATTTATTTAGAGAATAAAGCCAATTTACCGTTTCATATGATCACAGTGAGCCATTATCTTGAGACCAAAACCCACTGTCGCAAGGTCGCATTTAAGAGATACACAACACCAAGGGTTTTAAGATGGACTATTACCAAGTTGGACAGTATTCTATTCACCAAAGTATACACAACCTTAGTGAGATCCAGACTTGAAAACTTGATTCCCTCTGGAAGCTTCTGTTTAAAAGGTGGATCCGATGTCTTTGAAAAAGGACTCATCTTACCACGCAGTTCCAGGTCTCTAGCTTTTGCCGTGCACGGAGTGGCTTAAGAAGCAAGACCACTCAACTATGGCTCACTGCAGATTAAGTGATGATTTGATTTCGATGCATAGAATAATAAGAAATGATTTTTGACCTGATATGCCCTCTCTTTTTTTTCCTACTAGATAAAAAACTCATAGGATATAGCAGAAGAGTACAAAAACCAACAACTTACAAAGTACCTGTGGCATACAAGTTTTCACACCGAGTCGTCAATTCTTAAAGCCCCTTGCCCAAAGAAATAGTGTCAAAAACTTTAATCGACCGATTCTACAGAAGACTAGTGACTAGAAAGGGACTTCTGCCTTCAGTACACAATCCTGACATCAATACATAAATTTTAAATAGTTTAAAAGCTACTTACAAATACGAGCACTTGTAGCAAGGTATTTTGTTGTTCGGCAGAGGACTTGGCAGTGAAGAACTTAATGAGCAAATCTTTAAAATGCTTCAGACATTTCTGGAGTCATTTCTGCACGTGAAGACTGTGTTTCACTGAGCATTCACCCACCCAAGACAGAAAGTATACACAACAGAAAAGCAACACTGAATGCAGGTAAAACATTTTACAAGCCACAATAATGGAAAAAAACAATAAATATTATGCACACGTTGGACATTGTCATGTGGTCTCAGTGATCTTCCACAAATAACCAAGGATATCTACCTTCCTGATACTATATTGGAATATCCAAATCCTTCCAAATATACGTATTACGTTTACACCTTGCTGACAGACAACCACGACGCACACCAAAGAAACTAGCTAAAGCGAAGCATAAGACTTCATCGAAAATAATCACATCCACTCCCGCCAGAATGCCAATTTCATCATACACGGGCTCAGCCAAACACACAAATATGGGAGCAACAACCTGAATTTATACCACAGAAAAATTAGCATAAGTTCCTAACACCTCAATATCTGTTAATAGTAAGGAGGAGTGGTTGAGTGCTTGTAAGGGAACTGGCATAAGCACGGCCCCTAAAACACTGTAAATGGGGGACAAAGATGTTAAACAAAACCCCCTGATTACATCTAATTTCGTAGTGTTGGGGAAGGGCTTATTGGAAAGTAAAAAATCCATTGATTAAAAACAGTGAGGCAAATCCTGTACAATGCTGAGAAGAAGTATGGATTCAGCCAAGCTATCCCACCTGTATAAGGGGCGGATAGTAGCAAAACGTCAACCACCTTCACTAAAGGTAACTATGGACTCAGCACATGTTAAACAGGAAAGTTTACTGACACCCTGAAGACCATCGGTTAAGCAATTCCCTCAAATCCAAGTTAGACACAACAAGCCACTGGCCGTGGGAGATGCCGCTAGAGGAACGGTAAGCGCTAAAAAACCGATCACAATGATGGTTCACGGAGCTAGCAAGCAAGTGGTAGTCAAGATTGAACCCACGAACACGATATACAACGGTGGTGTTAGTTACCAGACAACTCTACAGTAACCAGAATGTCCGGGTTACCTCTTCCGTCATACTTCACGACCAGCAGGTCTCAGCGTCTGACAACTGCGAACTTCAGAAACCAAGATTATCTGACTGAGGCCCTCCAGTCTTGATACAACTCGAAAATTGACCTTCAAAGACATATCATGTGCTGTGAGTCGACCTAAATCTGTGAGGCTACAGTAGAAGAGCCCAGTCAAATACACATAGGCTCAGTTGACCTTGGTCAACAACCCACTGTACAAAACACAAGGACTATAATCTTTCTTGTGAAACACACACACACAACCTCACCCACTCAAACTACAAGATATATAAATTCACAAATGACTACCACACTGATTCCAATTATTGCAGTTAGGTAGCTAGACTACCAGCCATTGGAGATTATAAATACCTGTAACCGCACTGAAATAACTAGAAGGGAGTTCAAAGAATTTGACTAGCTTAAATAAGCTCGTATCAAAGATATTGGACTCTATTCTTTGCGATTAGGAAAATTTGCACGTAGAGTTTCACTTCCTCACAAGCTTTCAACTGTTTCTTCAAAGTGAGATTTTAGCATTTACCCATCCATTTTAATGTAGGTTATCGATAAGTTACTAAATATAATCAAATCAAATTTCTCACAAGCGGGATTTTTGGTATTAAGAGTTGAGGGCGCCTATTCTGATCCTGATGAGCCGTCCTGATCCGGGTTATGGGCCTTGTTCTAGCGCTGCAGCATAGCTATTCAAACCAAAGTAGTAATCCAGATTTGGATTTTAAGATTTTTAGAGGATGGGGTTTGTCTTGAGACTCCTCAGCTCTCGTCGGAATTTGTTGACTTACATCACTTACCAGCTGAGCTTGCTCTCAATATATTGTCGAGGCTCAATGCCACTGATCTATATCTAGCATCTTGTGTTTGGTATGATCTTGCTTACGATGAGGTGTTGTGGAAGAGGTATTATTTACTCATAAGGTAATTTTCAGTTTGTGCAAAGCTTCGTGGCCATTTTGCTCGGCGTACAAGAATGGCGTACTTCAATCTGAGCCGTCATTCCGTCGATTGTACCTTAAGCTAGATGAAGCGCGTTTGACATTTAACGCAGACGCCTTTGAAGTAAGTTCGACTTACACGAGCATTTTTCAGGGTATGGGGTACATCTTCAGACATCGTCTTGTTGACGATAATACCGATGATCTTGTTAACTTTTTCCACTATGCTTCCGGATTAGATCCATTCCAGAAGCGTCGATATCTGGAAACGAGGTATGATTTACTTTCAGTATAACACAGGCTTAGGCCCCAGGTTCTACGCGGACTGGTGAATTTAAAAGATTTCCGGAACTATTCATTACCAAATGCGTTAAGAGGTCTTTTTACTGAACTGCCAGTACAATCATCAGAACCTAGCGCGTCAGCTTTCATTCACCTGTTGGTCAGTCTGTTTTCCGAAAGATTTACTCAATGCAATCCAGATCTTGGGATCACACGTGGTATGTGTTAGAGTTTGTCGTTTATACATTACATTGTTTATTATTCATGAAAAATTGTGAATATCCCGTTTTTGACACAATAACTTTGTGTAAGGTAATTTCTGGAGAACATTAGCTTTTTGATTCAGTTGACGCGTATGACTTCGGCAATTATGAATCAAGCTTTTTCAGTACCGTTATCATATGCTTCGCAGATAGACTGTCAGGCTTTTTTAGTGAGGCAATGATGGTAAAATGGCTCATAAAACAACTTTGAGTTTATAGGTATTGTTTATGAAGCGATTTTCCCACTAACCTCTAGTACATATCAAACATTATATTTAGATAAAACGCGGAATATATGTTATTGTCAATTGATTACTTGGAAAATAGTCTAGAATTTTACTCATACAGTTCACATCCTGGTTTATCTAGGTATCATAATAAGGAGATAACGTTGATAAGATGCAAAGTAGGGGATTTTGTTCAACAGAAATGACCGTATGTACAGCAACCTCACCGCCCGCCTGAAAATAAAAATATCTTATTTGGTGATATATCTCAGTGGGTAACTAATATTGTTAGAGAAGTTGAACGGGGCTAGCCATTCTACGATTTGGAACATGTACTTATCACTCATGGCAACCAAACGTAATTGCACCGAAGTAGTGAGTGAAAAAATCAACATGAAAATTAAAAGCTAAAATACTATCGACAGTAAAGAGTAGCTAAATAAGTAGGGAAAACAGTCAAAGCAGTGCAATGTACAAAATATGCAGAGAAATGACAATCATATCATTACACGTTCATCAGAATAAATGCTCTCGTATTATGATACGTGTTACAACTACTGTCAACAACGAGGTTTCACAAACAGGGATGCATCTGATGTTTTACAATTATGGGAACCTATATTTTACATCCGTTTACGTTTTTATGTTTACCACTATGATAATATTAAGGGATCATTTATCATCACCGAAACTTCAAAGTAGTCTCAGTAAATTCAATCTGGGTAATCAAGATGTGTGATGCTTCCTACCGCCAGAAATAACACTATGTTCGTATGTCTTTCTTAGTGGTCTTTATCCTCTAGTTATATAGAAATTCCCAGAAAGTTGTTTAGAGCTTGGCACTGAACATTACGGTATAGAGAATTCATCTAGTAAATCCACTGCTTAACAGATGCTAGATAACTCGTAAGCATTATTTACAGTTCAGTCTGGTGTATAAGACAACTGAAAATACACTGATTAATACTGCCACTAGTATTTCAGTCAATCACTAGTATTTGGCTTTCAGATTTTAGTTTTCGAGATATACAAAATTGTTAATCTTATTTATGCATTTAAATACACATATGTTGGTATAACTGGCCACGGCGCTCAATGCTGGCTAATGTTGGGGATTGTTGGGAGCAAGTTAGGGGCGGCGAAACCAAAACGTGGCATCAGTGCTTGAAGTCACTAACTTTTGGTCTGAGCCATGTTGGTAAATGCAGACCACTTGGTTGGGGTCCGCGTGACTATCGTAACCAATGGTTAGAGACTGTGTGATATGGCTCAAAATCGATCACAATGGTGTCGGTGTATACACTCTGTCTTCCTTTAAACTGTGCGATTAAAATTGCTTTATATCTTTCTATCTACGAACTAATTCTTTCTTACTGTACTATATCCTTATATGCAATCTTTCCTTTATATATTACACCATTGACTTAATTGCTTCTATCATTCCGGTGTTCATCTTGTTGTGCTAATGAGGTGTGGCAACTTGGACCGATGCACATACATGCATAGTCCAACGTTGTAGCTGACTGACTGATAAATGGCTACCAAACTAAATATACATCACACGAATGAATGGGATTGGGAAAAGACGGATGGGGGGTAAATATAGTGAAAAAAATCAACGAGTGGAATTAAGTGAACGAGAGTAGGATGTAGTGGGAGAAACAACGAATTTAAAAAATACAGCCATGAGGAATCTTTTCAATCAAAGAAGTTTCTTTTATTTTCATTGGGAAAATTTAAGAAAATTGGTAACCACTCACTAGCTTCTTTCCTGAGCTATGCTTGATAACATCTCAAGTCACCTAGTTTCACTATCACCCTCAACCCTACCAGGGACTATATGCCATACCTACAAACAGTAATTTCCAACTGGTTAAGTAGGAATAGCAAAGCTTGAGTATCATCACAAAACAAGACAATATCATCCACATATATTCAGAATAGAAGTCCCTCTGCAGGCAACAGATCCACACCTTCACTGCCTAATTCCATATCTGTCTTCAGAATGTCATCATTGGCAAAATTGAAGCGGAATGGTGAGATTGCACAACCCTTCCTACCCCCCCACTGCTCGAGTAAAACAGTAGTGAAAAGTTGTTTTTTGTCTTCTGTCCTCATGTGTTTGTGTATGGATCCTTCAAGATGTTAGTAAGCTTGTCAGTTATACCATTATTCAACAAACAATCCCAAACAACAGTTCTGTCCAACAAGTCGGAAGCGAACACAATATCAACAAAGACAACGACTGTTGGCCTAGACGAAGTATAGCAGTTTCCTAACATTTAATGGAGGGTGAAGATATGGTCAGTACATTCTCAACCAGAACGAAAACTAACCTGCTCCTCATGAGCCGGTCTTTCGCGTATTTTAAAAAACCTATGAAATGCAACGGAAGCCAATACTATGAAAGCGATTGAAATCAGACACTCCCGATAGTTGTTGCAAAGATCACATAAACGGTTTGGGGAAACAAGGATGACTGTCGCTGTCTTTTAGTATGCTGAAACACTGATTCCCAAACCTTTCCAAACAACCCAATCGGTTCCCTGACCAGAAGTTCGCTACCACCTCGAAAAATAACCTTAGTTAAGTCATAACCCTGGTGATTTGAAGCGCCTCAGAAGTTGGGGTTCCTTTCGGATTTCCGGTTCGTTGTGTGGACCAGTCATCACCGGTCGTGGGTTGAGGGAACGTTTAATTGATGTAGCTGAGGTGGCAGACCATCTGAGTCGTCCTTCGAAGAACACTGTTCATCGTCAAAGTCGTCTTTGGATGCTGTTGATTGGTCTCCCATCAGCTTCACAGATTGTTTTACTCACACCAGACTCCCAACTGCCAGCGGCTCGGATAAGTTGAAAGCGCTTCCAGCAGTTATTAAATGTGGCTGCTGGTTCCAAATAGTTAGAACATTCGATCCTTACGTAAGCTCTTCACAATCTTTTTACGTAAGAATCTACGTTTATGGTCAAATTCTCGGTTATTCGGAGTAGACTAGCATGCCTCAATTAATTGTAGGAAGCCTAGAGAAACCCAGTGTTTATAAGCAGGAGGTTCCGAGGAATCGCAAGCGACTTTACTCTCCATTTTCGTGGCATCATGCAAATGCAGCCAATGTGCATCTATATTTTTAGGTTTGTTGATAGCTAGCATTGAACCTAGTTTGATCTGATATTTAGTTGCAACAGAAGGTGAAACCAATCTGCTTAAGTTAATCTGTTTGAAACACAAATTTGTTGATTACTAAAACATAAGATAGAACTGGGGCATATGAGTGTATGATCAGAGTTCAAATAAGTAATCCAAAGGAAACAATAGTCTTGTACATGGGCACGTCAACGGTAGCTGATTGCGATACGATTACTCTAAGTCCAGACTTGAGTTGTAGACAAAGGTCTCCAAGTAGCATTTCGATGACGACGGTGCCGAAATTTGGTGTTGTCCAGAAACATGATGTTACTGGTCATCATTAACATGGACCCTGGGACAAATGTACATCAATTTATGTTACTATGCCAAATTAGTACGCTAAGTGAAAGTTAAGAAGATAAACAGCAAATGCGTCGAAATGACGTGAATAGTTCTGGCAATGGAAAAGATTAAGATTCGCGAAGAAGTGGAGTACTATTAGAACTCAAAATCTTGAGGAAAATAAGTAGTGAATTAATCTTTACCCTTGTCACCAATTCTGATTCGCATTATCCACCCAGTGATGTTAGTGACTCGAGGATTTCAACTAGGTAGTTTCTGCATTTGCCACCATGGTTAAACTCAGCGGTTACTGGTTTTATCGACTGGCTACATGATAATCTGATTGACATGGAATACAGAAAAATATGGGGATGATTGGAACCTGTTACTTAATTCCTAAGGGTAATTTGACAAAACAAATGATCTATATCTAATCACAGTTTGACAGTAAGGTTTAAGGATATTGGCTAGTTTACGTATGTCAGAGTTTCAGCGTTTTTGTTTGCTTTGTGGTCAACGAAACGTCGGTAACATATCGCTTCCGTTAAAATTTTTGCCGTAGTGAAAGTGACCACATACATCACAAAAATATAGCATCAACATTATCTATGTTTAAATTCTTTTTCTCCCTGCTAACAGAAAGTACCGTAATTATACTGCAGTTCAGGATCAATTATTCTTTCATCGTCACCCAGATGTATTGTAACCAAGGTAGTGTTATAAAGTCAGTAACTTAATCCGATTCATAAATCAAGATTAATTGAGGTACTTCTTATGTGTTTAAGATTTAGAGTAGAAACTTAATTGTTTAGTGTAGGAGGGAATACACTTTGGTAATACCACTGCAGTGTGAATTTTTGTCCGTGATTAATATAAGTTGGGAAACATTTGTTGGCTGCCGTCGCCTTTATGTTTTTGTGTGGAAAGATTGTTCCATTTTACTTGGTAATGTTTTACAAATGGTTCCTTTGCAACCACGTTAATAGTGCTTGTAACTAAGACTAAGTGGTGTGACAACTTTAAACAATGCACATTCATTATTGGACTTGTGTTAATCCTTTATGTATTGAGGTTGCCCTCGTGACTCTAAACTAAAAGGCTATTCAGGATCCAGTATTTCTATCAAAATATTGCGTTTTCAAAATTATGTTAATATTGATACGTACATTCTCCTAAGATACTTCGCACTTATATTGTTCCTTAGCAAATATAGTTTCAGCTCAGAATAACCATTAACAGATTGTGAATCTTAGCAATGGCTCTTTAGTTAGTGAACTTAATTTTCAATCAATAGATTGTATGCTCGAATCCTTCCGTATCTAATTCGGTTTAGGGAACCAAATATTATAGCTGGCTCTCATAAAGTCTTGCTCAGAGCGGATTACATAAGCCTATATTTAGCAAATGAGTTAGACTAATTAAATAGGACCACATAGCAATACTTTTGTGTAGTTTTATTAAAATGTTAGTAAGTTGCGTAACGTAAATAAATGTAATCACTCCTGTTCACGTCATGGTTAATATTTACGGCGCTTTTCTACCTCAAATTTATTAATGATACATCTAGCAACTTGAAGGTAGTCGTAACTAGATCTGTAACTGTTAACATTATGGAGCAAATATTATTTTATGAAAATACTTCTGAGGTTATTTAATAAATCACAAATGGTTTGATCATTTTAGATGAGATCTATTTACTGTGCTTTTCAATGATCATGCTATCTGTTGATCTCTGGAGCCCATCCATCAAAAATAAAATGTCTAAACGTGAATTTATTCGCAATACAAGACAAGTGGCAACCACAACGTCGGATGAGTTTTTGGGAAACTTATATGATAATGTGTATATTGTTGGGCATGTCGTACTGGTCGATTGTTCTGGACCTCCCTTCCGTCATTCTGAAGTTAAAGCAATCCTTGTGAGAAATCAACCTCTGTCATTACCTGCTTTTTAAATAAATTAACCAGTAGTTATTTCATCCACTGTGATTTATTTTCATTATTTTGTGCTATTTTTTGTACTTTAAATTATAACGTTAAACATTCACACAATGATTCAGTTCAAATTAGTTAGTGTTGTGTTTTATTTTGACTTGTTAGTTAGTTATTTGTTGGTTAACTAATAAACAACTAGTTTCATATCAAGGCTATTACAGCAAATAGTCGTCAATTTTTCTTTTCATAGTTATTTGTAAACCAAACCAAACAGACATCAATAAACTAGTCATATACACTGTAATCTACCTGAAACACAACTTCGTATAAGAGAAGTTAAAAGGCATTGTTAATTGAGTGATATATTATATACGTTCTCATGGATTTACTTAATATTAGTAAAGAATTTTATTTCAAAGTAATACAAATCAACATTTTCCCTATCATTCTATGAAAAGTCGAATCTTGTTCCTTTACATTACTTTTCGAATATACATATTCTATTTATGAGATAGTTCGTTTTTATATTTTCTAATAAGTAAATTTATGGGCATCTTTCCAAGATATATTTAATCGACCATTACTAGATTAGTAAACTTACTAAAAATTCTGATGTACCACTGGTTCATGTAAATGATGGTAAGACGTATAACTTACCTAGTTACTTTATTACCACGTAGTGCCTTCAATGCCCAAGTTGAATCTTGATTAGCTCTTTTATGATCTGAATACTTAAAATTTATGTTAACAGAATTTACTGTGCAATCTGTATCTAAGAACAATGTCTTAAAGTAAACTGGTGTCCTTGTAACCCATCATCTGTCTTTAAGTAGCTCTATGAAATTGGTAGTCATTTTCATCGTATCACTAGTGAAGTTATTTGTCTTTTGTAGTGTAGATATCAATAACAAAGTTGGATTAGTTACTTCCGAATAAATTAGGCACTAGGTATCTAGTATTTCTTACAAAAGACGTAACAATGGCTGTTAACACGGTTTAATTACTAAGTACACGTTATTGTACTCGGATTTGAATCATACTTATTATAAAAGTCACTGATATTAAGCGGCTTCCAAACCGAAGTCAGTTGAACATAAGCAACACAGAAATTGAAGTATATCTGCCTCAGTTCAAGTCACTACGCTGCATCAGCACAACGAGATGAAATTATCACGATAAATACCAGAGTATTAGGAGTTGTAGTATTACCAGTGATGGTAAAGAGGATTTTGTATAGAGAATATTATTATGGAAGAAAGGATTTATTCGAAGAATAAACCTTAAAAAATAGTTCTAAAATTAGATCATAGAGAAGACGAAGAATGAATTCATATGTGCCATAGTGATCGATTATGAAACATGTTACCCATGGTTTGTAATTCCCAATCGCGGTTATCGCCCCGATCTAACCTAGTAATCTATGCTTACCATCAGCTCAGACCGACAAACAATGACTTCATGGACTAATTCCACGTTTTAGTTTGTGGGCATCTAAATTCCTTTCGTTCTATTGCAGCAAACATTGCTCATCAGAATTTATGTGCGAATAATTTGTATCAACATTAATTATTGTTTAGTCTGTCCATATATCAGGTTATCTCTTAGATTCTAACTGGTTTTGTCGAATAAATGTCTTGGGTTCAACCACTATTTATTTACTATTCACTAAACTGACATCCTGCTCTGTAATAAGATGTTTGGGTAACTACTTAGTAAGTTGCCTTCACACAATAAAGTAAACAACATTGCTTCAAATTCGCTTTTGTCGTTTATATTAAAGACCTTTATATTACAAAAAAGCTGTCCGTGTCACGTGTTCACTTTTTTCTGTTATAGTTGATCTTTTTATAGAAAAAGGAAATTCGGATTATTTTGAGTCACAACAAAGATAAACCAGTATTTTTGAACACCTAATATAGATAAGTTTTTATTATGCAAACTGATAAATTATCCATCACTAAGATTAGTTAGTATTGACATTACAATTTATAGATCGGTCGCCATTACTTATATCTATCCTTATCAGTGTAAGATTATCTTTTCCAGTTGTTTATTTTTCGTAACCGTCCCGGGATGATTATAGTATTGGGTTAGGCTTGTTTCGTTTGATTAATCTCTACAATCATTGGTGCTTTATTAATAGTGCACTGTATTTAAAGACTTTTATTTTAAAATCAAATACATATTCCATCGATCTAATAAACAAAAATAGTATTCATCAATAAGCCATTCAGTTTTTAAACATACACGAAATGAAACTTAATGTAGTCGATATGATTTAGCAACCCTTAAGTGCTTAAAAAATGTTCAAGTATATATGAAATGAGGCCCTACAGGTTTATACATGTTCACTGTTTGAATTCATCCTACTTCAACTTATTGATTGTCCAGTATTGTATTGCCAAACAATCAGTAGATCGGTTAAAACATGGCCTAATTTACTATGGTAAAATTTCCTAATCGATATATGGACATGAATTGAGAAAGTAACACATTCGATCAATGAAAACCTTGAGTCAGTGATCCTGGCTATCTGAAAAAATGTAAGACATCATGATGATTTCGCCGTAGTATATGTAAGGACTCTGTTGATAAGCTTGAAAACAACAGTTTCTATTCGCTCCCCAATATTACTCAAAGTTCGGACATTGGTACTATTATTTAAATTCTTTCTTCCTGACAGTTCCCAACCATCTTAAATGTATCACAACTGATGCAAAGTGGTGATTAGAAGTGTGTAGAATGAATCCTCAATTTTTTTGAGTATTTTTAAATATAAAGTGCCTTGTTTTGCTAGAATCATCGTCTTCCTACAAATTTTATAAATGAAGACGTACTTTCAGATAAGTAAAATTAATGACCTTATTTTCTACTCATTAGTTAGTGGGTCATATGAACAAAGTTTTTTTTCTTATTGAACATCGATAAGTTCAATTTACTAATCATATGCAATGTCGGTGTTATAATAAAGTTACTTGAATTAATGTTTTCTCTAACTTTTTTACATTTACTACCTGGCTTTTTGCCCGCTACCGTCAAGATATACTCCAGTGATGTAGATATTCGGTTTTCTGTCATTGAATCATTGGTTCAGAGAGATGTTACGTGCTACAGTCAAAGGTATTTTTGAGCTCAACATTATGAATATAATTCGATTCCATGAACAAAGCTGGGTAGTATGATTATGCATTTTTCTAACAAACTGTCAAAGTGTATGCTTTTGTTAAAAAGTAAAATAGCTGTTTTTATTATCGTGGCAGCATGATTTCTCGTTCGTATTAAATACCTTTACAAGCAACGTGAAGTTTCGTGATTTATTTCATGTGGTTACATTGTGTTATGGTAAGAGAATAACTTTAAGTAATGCTTCTTCCAGTCAGCTGAATTCCAAGTCTACATTAAAACCCAATATTAAACTCATAGATTAACATGCATGCATAATGAGTTACAATAAATATATTGTAAAGGCAAATAAGTTCGTGCATGAGAACTACACTAGACTAATCTTGAAATAATTCGGCTTCTTTTACCTTGTCTAGCTATCATTACCTAAAGTCGTCTCATTTTTCATTGAGATAAGATACGTGTCCGTAAATTCCCAGCTCGTTTGTTTCACAAAATGTGTGCGGTCCCGAGCACTGTTGGCTGTTTTTTCGTTCATTTAATAGGTGAGTGCATAATTATTACTAGGTATTTCATTCCAAGCTCTCACTTTCACCATATTCTTTTCATTGGACAAGTTGTTTTCGCTACAGTGATGTATCCGTAGAATTCATATATGGATAGCTTCAAGTAATTGAAATGAAGTCAGCGAAAATCATGTGCTTATACGCAGCACTCACTAAATTAATAGGGAAACGCATTTTCATTGAATATTGAGACATGAATAGATAACCTGTTAAGTTTTTTTCTCTCGTTTCGATTGTTCACCTATGCATATTAATTTGAAACGGTATGTTATGAATTTGCAATTGTATTCAGTTAGTTAATAATAAATAAAATTTATTTATTAACTTCAATATATTTCTACTCTGCTTACAAATCGTTCTTAGGATAAGGCTTTACCACAGTTTTGCTTTCAGTTAAACGTGAATGATTAATGTTTGTCTGGGGAACCTATGGCATTTGGTTTTGCTAGTGTTGATGTCGGACTAGGCGCTAAAGTTGAGGCAGCACTATCAATTGGATCCTCATTAACAGTCAGTTATTTGTTATTAGATTAGAAACTCAATCAAAATGAGAAATCGGTGTGACAAACGACATCTCTTCCTACGGTCCGAGATTTCAGCACAGATGTGAGCAAGGATGGGTTTTATTACTGTAAGGAACAAGAACACGAGTGGGGACAACCAAATGTAGTTGAGCACGAAATTACAGAATATCTCACTAAAATCTGAGAACCACAGAGTAAATAATTTGCAATACCAATCCATGGTCTCAGATTCCACACAAATTGCCTTCCGTTCATTCCTTCTCGGTCTTCTGAAATACATTCAATTCCTGACTATCGCTACATAGTACTTACGTAAATATAAGTAGCTCACACCACACTACCAGTTAAATGTTCTTCTACAGAAAATGCATTGGACGGATATCGCAGTACTAGTTGGAGACATGAAAGCACTGTTTGGGGGTCATTTGTGTGACTAATGGGGATTTGTTGATCACAGGTCGGATAACGGTGACCGTCTACTGTAACATTGCGCAGGCTACATCCTGTTTTTCACTAGCATTAACTATTGGCACAGACTACCTGGAGATCTCTATCTACAGCTCAAGTCTGGACTAAGATTAATCGTATCGCAATCAGCTACCGTTGACGTGACGATGTACAAGACTCATACGCCCCAGTTCTATCTAATGTTTCAGTAGTCAACAAATTTGTGATTCAAGCGGATTGGTTTCAGCTTCTGTTGCAACTAAATACCAGACCAAACTAAGTTCAATACTAGCTATCAACCCATCAAAAAGTAAGGATTTTCTTTAACCTTTACATGTCGATTTGATCAGTTTAGGATTTTTGATTGGTGCATAATAAACACTAAAGTTTTTTCGTGTAATATCGGTCCTTGTTTTGTCATACGGTAACAATTTTGTCCCTAGGCATAACGAGGAGAAGTACTAGATGTAGTAGCCCAGTCGTACGTTATTAAACCTATACTTGGAATTCTAATAAGTGTATATTTTTAGTAATGTTTGTCTGTAACAGGATTGCTTGCTTCATTCCCTTCCTTCAATTTTTATCTCACTTCGTAGGCCTTTTGAATTTTGTTTCCTAGTTGTGTGTTATTGTAGTAAAATTCTTCGTATAACACAATATGATCCTTCCTAATCCTATATTCCCTCGTGTCTATTGTATTGAAGTTGGACCTAAGTGTCATTCATAAACAAGACATTTGTAAAGTGTGACCAACCGAGCTAGGAATCGCAGGATCTATTTAGCGCAGTATCCTATCTAACAAGAACGTCATTACAAAAACATCCATGTGTTGTAGTGAAATTAAACGAAATTGGTCACTAAGTGTGGAAACACAGTCGCTCAGTTTATTATCTATTAAATATGTAATCTCCCCTCTTATTCATTTTTACTCTACACTAGCTAAGAGTGACTGATTGTAACTGCGTAGAATACATTATTATCTAACGTTACTCTAGTTCTCTATTTTGGTCGTGAATCAGTTATCTGACATAATGCAATCTAGTCCGTGTATAGCGGATTACCGATTATCCAGTCTAGCTTATGCATAGATTTACATCTGGGAGATCGTCTTGATGCAGTTGTTCAGAAGAACCAGAAAAGCCATGTGATTTTAGAGACTATATTAATCAAAATGACTTATGAGTAGTAATCAAAAGAATATATATATATATAGTGGTGCTATGACTGAAGAAATAATCTCAACTAGTAATATCGATCGATGGGCTGTACCTTGAAAAAACCAACAGTTTTTGATAACATCATTTTTTAGTGTTAGCTAGCAGCACAAAACATTACTTCTATTTTAATGTCTACCAAAAAGAGATGAAAGTTACAAAAATGAAAACACGTATATAAGATACAATTCTATGGAATAAGACACAACTCTTTCATTTATCAAAATTGACTTAACAAGAATTGGTGGCATACTGAATCGAGTCGAATATTTTATCGCATAAACATGTGGACAAGAATTCAAGTGAAAACAATTTAGTACAGAAAAAAACTAGCAATGTAAATAAGATACTCAACGTATAGAAGATGAAAAACCAAATAATATAAAGCGCAATAATCTTCGATATATTTGAGAAAACTTGACGATAAATAAGTCTATTTACGAGTTTGGAAGATCTGCAATGGCCTACAATCAAATTTAAAGAAAGTAATTACTAAAAAACGTTACACACACATACACACTTATATCAAAGTGCTATAAAAATATTTGGATAATAATTATTAATGTATTGTATTAGGATAGTTCCTTAACTCTTGCTTTCTAATTATTGATCAACAGATGTCAGGGTTCGGTGAGCATCAGAGTGAAAAATTTAGTAAGAATGAACAAAGTGATGTTTGAATATAGTGTTTGAACAAAAATCAATGAGTCAGTTGAAGCTAGACCACCATTGAAAACCTGGAAGCACTGGACGGCCGTTTCGTCCTGGTATGGGACTCCTCAGCAGTGCGCACGCACGATCCCGCACCACGCGGGGCTCGAACCCAGGACCTACCGGCTTCGCCGGCTCAGTGGTCTAGTGGTTAAGTGCTCGCGCGCGAAGCCAGTAGGTCCTGGGTTCGAGTCCCGCGTGGTGCGGGATCGTGGATGCGCACTGCTGAGGAGTCCCATACCAGGACGAAACGGCCGTCCAGTGCTTCCAGGTTTTCAATGGTGGTCTAGCTTCAACTGACTCATGATTTCAACCTGTGAAATTTTTAAAACTCTCCACAAAACCCATTCTGATAAAAATCAATGAAATAAGAGACTAGTTCGATCTGCCATAATTTTTAAAAAAATATATAAGTTAACTAGTTTAATTTAGCAATTGAGTAAACTATTATTTATGAAGAAACATGGTCAGTATAATAGGGAACCAAGAAATTACCACACTTAAATGGAAGGTCAGTGATACTGCTCAGTTAGAAGTCGGTAATTCTTTTGAAAGGACACAATCATCGAGTGATTGCAGGAACGTCAGAAGTATTTTCATGGTAACCGATGGTGATAGTAGTATCATAAGATGCATGTTATTTTATGATCATGGGATCTGTGACAAATTGGACCAAAACAAATTTTGTCTTAGGCTTTTTGTTTCTATTGACTGACTGGGTTCACGTGCATTATAACACAAAGAAAAACTCAATGACCCATACGGATATATCATTTAGTTGAGCAGTTGTATGGACTTATTTTGTTAGAAGTTATACTTACTATACAGTAAAGAAACAAGAAGTTTGAAAATCGCTATGACTCAAACAACCATAATTGATTAGAAGACATGACAAATGAGGAAAAAGTTGGTGTAAGTCAATTTCAACAATTATATTTGATTTAAAAAAAAACTTTGCTAATTGTATTAACGTGAATGGCAAATTGGATTTTGTCTTATCAGTTTCAGTATAACTTTTTTATTAGCTTGTTTAGAATTTTGTTGTTAAATCGACAAATTTGTCGGCTGAGAAATTGTGAATTGAATGGAACTATTTGATTCAGTAGTGTACAAGTGTGCTATCAGGAACTGAAATCCAAAATTAAGAAATGCAAGTACAAACAACACGAGTTAGACTACAGGAGAAACACCCATACATAATATTTGGGTTGTTTGAGAACTATAAAAAAAGTAATAATTAGTAATAGCATAAATTTGTTAATTGGGTAATTATCTCAGTTGAATTTCAATGTAGTCAAGTTCCAAACGTCAGAATACAGTGATGTGGAATTTTATTCAGAATGGTAGGTTTAAAAGAACATTTGGTTTTATCATAAATTAAATACGAAGATGAAATAAGCAGGATTATATCAACAAGTGATGAACTAGTAGAACACAACTGATTGATCACTGGGTGATGATCCATGTCATGTGTGTCAAGTCCTTCCTAATGCAGATTGAATGCTATCGAACAAGTTGCAGTGTGGCCACCAGTCTAGGTGACTCGACACTGCGTGCACTATGTTGAGATAAGATGGTGTTTGGAGGTAGTCAATAAGGAACCTTGGACCCAGGTTTCGTGATACTTGGCACTCGTCAGCAAGGCGTGCCTGTAATCTTGAGGGAGCGAGTGGTCCCTGACGGATTCGTTCCCGTATCACCCAGCTTCACATTCAGAGACGTTACCACTGAGCTATCTGCACTAAGAAGGACTTAACACACACGACATTGATCACCACCCAGTGATCAATCAAGTGTGATTACATCTCAGTCTTACAGGAGGTCGGTCGTGGCCCGGATAGCTCAGTGGTAACGTCTCTGTGAAGCTGGGTGAAACGGAGTCGAATCCGTCAGGGCGCATCAGTACCCTCAAGATTACAGGTACACCTTGCTGACGAGTGCCAAGTAGCACGAAACCCGGGTCCAGGGTTTCCTGTTGACTATCCCCAAACATCATCTTATCTGAACTAGTAGAACAGATGTACATAGATACATAATGGGAAAGGGTATGCTCAGTAAGAAAAGCTGTAGTAAATTTCCAGAAATGTTCGAATACTCTTAGCTATGGTCTTTACTTCTGAGTAGTTCTTATAAAGTCCATCCAAGGAAAGTTAGAAATGAGGCATGACTACATGAGAAAGGCTCTATTAAGTCTATTCCTTTATAATTTCTAAGAGGACGAAATTTTCTTTCCTTCTAAAAAAAGCCAATTAGTTAATATTTAACAATTATCCTATAGCTTAGATTTGATAATTTACAAGAAGGACTCTTGAAAGATCAAGTAATGGAACGGGTACGAACACTTACTTGCAAGAGAGTTTTACCTATTTGAGCTGGGGAAGGTGTGACAACAACACCTGCACTTTCTAAAGCTGCCATTTTCTCTTTAGCACCACCTTTACCTAGCGAAATGATAGCTCCAGCATGACCCATACGACGTCCAGGTGGCGCTGTAACACCGGCAATAAAAGATACAACTGGTTTGCGGTTTGGACCCTAAAAAACAAAACAAAAGAGAGGTCAGGAGTGATTCATAGAAATCTGAACAATCAATTTGTGGAAAGCATTTCAAGCTGTGATTAATGTGTAATGAGTTAAATTTATTATTTGAACACATGAATATTGGTACAAGAGAACGCCAATATATATGCGTCACACAAAACAATGAGAATTCGAAGAGAAATAGAAAAAAAACTAAGGAGCGCAAAAGAAAAAGAGAACAATGACGGAGAGATTGGAGTAAGGTAGTGTGGTAGTAACGAGGGAACGGAAAGGTACAATCAGAAGAAATCTTTCAGGTAAGGGAGACAGAACCACTTTTTATGAAGAAAGTAAAAGAAGGTTACAGCAGGATCGCCACTGGCTTCTATTCTGAGCCATATCTGATAACGTCTCTAGCCACTGTGTAGCACCATCTCTCAGACCCCAACCAGGAAGTCGTGAAGGACCAACACAAGCCAGTCATTTGCAGCTTTCTTTCATACCACGACACCATGTCATGCACTGACCACCTCTCCGCTTCTTCCAACCAGTCCCAGAGTCGGCAAATAATGCACGACGTGGAATTCTCTGGAATGACATTCGTAGAACATGTCCAAGCCACCGAAGTCGGTGTTTCAAGATGGTGACACCAATTGAATTATCATCTCTGTGCCCGAACACACGATGCCGAGCCTCTGCATTACTGACATGGTGTTGCCACTGAATGTCAGCAACCCTTCGGAGACAGCGATGATCGAACACAGAGAGTCGTCTAACATCCTCAACTCGGAGAGGCCAGGTTTCACAAGCATAGAGCAAAACTGCTCTCACCGACGCGTTGTAGATCCGACCTTTTACAGGCAGACTAACATCACGAAGGCGCCAAAGGTGGTCCAGATTGGCATAAGCCGCTCTGGCTTTCACTATTCGTGCGTTGATCTCATCACTCACACCCCCACCAGCACTTATGCAGCTACCCAGATACACGAACTTCTCAACTACGTCTATCTGCTCACCATCCAGGGTGAGTACAGGATTGGAATCCTGCCAGTCTTGTAGAAGTACTTTGCACTTCGAAGGTGCAAAGCACATACCATACCTACGGACAGTGATTGCCAACTGACTAAGTGCGTATTGCATGCCTTGGGCATTATCGCACAGTAAGACAATATCGTCCGCATACTCAAGGTCGAGAAGTCTTTCTCCAGGCAACAGATCCACACCACCACTACTTACATTCATCAGAGCTGTTTCCAGAATGTCATCGATGGCAAAGTTGAAGAGTTAAATACCCCTGATGAACATTGTGATTATTAACATAACGCACATTTTTCTAGTACTCTTCTCTATAGATATATTACAATGCGATTACTGAGTAGAGATAACATTATTCTAAATAAAACCCCAGTACGAATGCAGTTCAGACCAACAGTCAATAACTGCGTGGAATAATGACACCCTTTAATTTGGCTGCCCATAGATTTCTTTTAACCTACTCCTACAACAGCGCATAGAGGTAGGTGGTGGTTGATCATACGCAGTACAAGTCACAGTTAGCTCATTCGATGAGATTTTACTACCTCATCAACAGACTTGGTACCATTGCTTTGTACCCTGCATCCAAACCTATCATTGCCAACTGGATGGTCCCAACATATTCGAGCAATATTTCGAAGGCAACCATGTTCAAATACCGGTAGCCTAAGAATATTCTCTACTTTTAAAGGGTACGAAATAATTTAATTCAACATAAAAGTGAAGTAAGCATGTGAAGAAGTCAGTGTTTGAAAACCAAACAACAAACGTAATTCAATTTACCCTAAGACGAAGAAGCAAATTTAGTACAGTTGGTGCGTTTGATAGATTTAGATAATGGAATGAGAAGATGAGGTTTCAAAATTATGTGATATATTAGCACAATGAAATAAGAATAAGAATCTGATCACACATTACTACCGACGGCATATAGGTCGACTAGACAAATTGCAGGATAAGAGAAAAACAAAAATCATAAAAAGATGCGAATCACACCGCTCTGGATAGTCGACTAGAGTGAATACTTGGGTTTGTTGAGGCTCAGGCCATATGAGAATCCAAAAGTACCTCGGTTCGTGTACTCATGAACAACCAGTACTTACACTAAACCTACCCTGGTAATGTTGAATTATTATCCAGAATGGTGTGATTCACATAGTTTTTTTCTTATCCTTCAATTAATCTGGTGGACCTCGATGTGATCAGATCATTGGTCGTATTGCATTGTGCTAATATATCACATATTTCTTCTCGTCGCATTATTTGAAAAATAAGTCATCAATTTAATTTAACTCAATTCTTCCTAATTTTTCACCAAAATGACCTAATATTTTTTTAAACATTCCTCTCTTTCATAAGTTAATTAATGTACAAACAAAACTTATTTTCTCTTGATTGTGTATTGCCTCACTTTGAGTACACAGCAGTTTTTATCTCCCTAGGCTACTACTACTACTACTACTACAACTGTGGTGTATGCTACTTATATTGACATAAGTAGTATATGATGTTAGTCGTGAACAGAAGGTCTGGCAACAGAGAGACAAGAGGATCGAACAGTAAAGAATGGAGACAGGATGTAATTTGTATGAAAATGCAAGAACAATGAAGTCTGAGTCATTTTGAGACAATTGGTGGACATTTTGCAAATTAAGCATTTACTTTATGATTGTCAGATTTTTGTGTTAAATACATTCGATTGTCCTCATGCATGTTCTGTTCACTACACTACTACTTGACAAGTATATTTATACAAGTTTTGTAACAATGTTTTCCCCCGTTTAATGTACATTATCAGTATTCATGCAAAGTTTTCTCTCCTTTTTTCTTTTTCTTCATTCAAATGTCGAGGATTGGTCACGCACAGTTTTACATTCGATAAGAAATACAGGTTTTCTGAACCAAACTTACAGTGTACGTTGAGCTATGAAGCTTCTGATCTAATGTATTCCGTACTCATTGTAGATCGAAACTTAACAGATGCACAGAAACACTGAAGGAAGTTGAACGTAAAAACTTACAGTATTATGCTCTTTTAAGAATTCGGCAGCTTGTTCTTCTGAGTCACCACCGATTTCGCCAAGCAGGATTATTGATTTTGTATTAGGATCGTTTAAAAACACCTCAAGACAGTCGGTGAAGTTTGTTCCATTAAATGGATCGCCACCGATTCCAATACACAGGGATTGACCAAGACCAACCTACAATTTGGTGATTCATAATAATACGTTACTTGAAATGGTATCTTGAACTACATATAAACAGATGCATTTTGAATAAGTGTCACAACTGATTACCACTAGTTTGGATTAGCTGATACACGTGACAAATGGAATAATACTTCTCGAATTCCTAGCCTGTGACGACTATGAAAAATATGTAACATGAAGTAACTGAAAAAAAGAGAACCCCAGTGGAAAAACGACTTATTTTCCTAAAAACGTACATTTGTATTATATTAGTATTGTGTCTGAGTTCATTCTACCGAGCTAAGGAACGATGATGAAACAAAACAAGGGTTACTATTATGTTATAGGTAGAATGGAGATGTACGACGTTGGGTTTACTGATTTCTAGTCAGTAATATTGGGAAACCAGTACTGTGCTACCACATGATCTTAAACAATTTATCGAAACGAATAGTTTACGGACTCGTGAAAATTGATAACTAATGAATAAATGGGGATCCCGAAGTAACATTATCTTATGGATTAGGTCTACGAGTCAAAACAAAACGCTAACGACTATAACTGGTTTCTGTTCGGTGACTTCTGTAACAACACGAACTTGATTAATACTTTCAGTGTTCACACAAACCCTAATGTCGTGATTTAGGATTCACAAGGTCAATCTAGACACAATCGATGTAGAACCTAACGAAAGTGTGTTCGTCCAAGTTTAACTCAGTTTCATTTTGCCATTGAATATGCTCTAGACTCTATTAACACTTTTGTATGCACAACTTACATTCTACACAGACTATCTTCTATTTCATTGTTATATCCTGTCTCTTCTTTTCATTAGTCTTTCTACATTGGTAAGTCATCGATCTAATTTCCAAAACTATTCTGCGCATTTCATTGCTTTGTGATTGGTTGTTTCATTACCTTACGTATGACCTAGACGATCATGAGATTCGATCACATGTCCTTAGGTCATTTTATTCTAACTATTAAGAGCTCTCGTTCTAATCATTTTATTTGTCTCGTATTGCTATTTGCTTTGGCTATTTGATAATTCTTGTTGAACCATTTAAATTATCACGGATTTCTCTGTTCGGGAAATTTCTAAGACGGAAGTGCTATATTCGGAGTTTGTTCACTTATTAGTCTAACAATATTTGCATTAAGAGCACCGTATGTTATGTAGCTTTTGGAGGGCCCTTTTCATTTCTTGGGCTTTGCTGAGACAACTATCAGTTCTTTGTATTTGTGTCCTGTTGTTTTTACACGTTACATTATTAGGTCTACATAGAGTAAAACATATTTAATATCTATAACAATTTATTTCATCCTGCTTGATAAATTACTGTTTGAGCTGTTGAATCACAAAATGATTCCAGGCTTCAAGTTGTTAACTAGTGAGATACCTGGGATATATTGGAACCATGAGTTACTTAAATTTTAGACATCCTATTAGAATTCCTATTCAACACAATTTGCTTACATTAAAGCCTTTTGAGAAAACAAAGAAATATGGTGATTTCTGGTAGGCTGATGTGTAGTAAATGTTGCATGACAAACTTTGAAGTGAAGAAATATAGAGTCACTTAATAGATCTAGATGATGTACGTGAACCAAATGTAAATAATGTGGAAATGGTTGTGATATACCATTGGCTAATATATAATCACGACTTATAGCATCAATATAAGAGCCAGGAGTTCCCCATTTAGAATGATGAGACAACTTACATCAGTTTGAGCAGCTGGACAGTATCATTAGCTCTTTCATGATTGTGGCCCAGAGGAGTGCGTAAACCTGTATTTGGTAAGTAGTTTGGTTTAAAATATAAAATCTCCAATCCAAAAGCACATGCTCGTCATAAGAGTTAATGCTAATTTTAACATTTTCTTAGCACATTCTAGGATATTAAAATCATGTCACGAAGAAAATAAGCCCCGGATAGTGAATTGAAGGTTTTTAAAAGAGAAGTCACGCCCCCTGGTTTATTCTAGGTTTAGTAAGCTAAGATACGGAAGGCCAAAAACTTAAAATGCTCACATGGATACAAATACAGTCAGATCTTGGGCATTTCCATATCGAATGAGAAGACAGAAAGACAGCTGGTCGTGAGAATACTCTTTTCATCCGTTTTTTCAGTTACACCGGCCAATACGTATAAGTTGACTGACATAGGAACAGTAATGAGTAATCTAGTAAATACCTTATGCAATTGTCAAACGTTGAAATAAATGGATATACTAGATAATTTGTCAAATACCTGTGTAGTTTGAAAGACAGCTTCGTAAGTTAATGTCCCCGATCTGGATACTATTCCTACCGTTCCTGGTTTATGAATATGTGCAGGCATAATACCAATTTTGCATACGTCCGGTTTTATTATTCCTGGACAATTTGGTCCAATTAATCTCGAGGCAGACTAGAGATGAATAAAAAACACATGATACACAAAAAGTATTTGGAACGTAATTGGAGAATGCTGAGTGAACTAAACATATTGAACCGAATGTAGAAACTAGCGTAGTGTAGGTATTAAGCCGAATGAATGCGAACCATTAACAATAACAACACACTGGTTATAAGGACGACCCCTATCACAGAAACGATGTTTAATATTATTTAAGCATTGATAACTTGCAATATCCTTTTAGCGATACGGGTGCGTTTAGACTGTTTGTCTCTGATTCTTAAGAAGTAAACATGATGCACTTTTAATTGGTAACAAATATTACATTTACGAGGAAACCAGCTGTTTCGCATTATTATAAGGTGTAAAAGTTAGTAAGTTAAGTTCAAAGAGGGAAATGTATAAAAAAGAAACTGTTTTCAACAACATATCAAGAGATAAACAGTAAATCTGTATGACATTTATTAGCAAATAATAACAAGCTAACGTCTAAAATTTATTAGGTGGATATTAGTAGAGTTTTGGAGATATTTCTTATATGCCTGGGGGAGGCGGCAAGTTGATCGTCTAACGTCATCAACTGGTCGGAAATGTATATACAATAGGTACTTAATTACTTTAAGAGATATAATTCTATGAGCAGTACATGTAGTGTGCATTGTAAGTAGTGAACATACATTTAAACAAGATGGCACTGTAGTCTGGTAGTGCAATGGTGACACCAAAGTACAGGACACATGAATAGACTATTTCTGATATGAGTCACTATATTACTCTGTCGAAGCTCCATTATACAGAAGTGACTCTATTAGCAGACTAAGGTTTGTTATTTATTAATATCAAGACGAATCACTGAGAAGTGCATTTTGCTTAACATGACTTGGACCAAGCTTTAAGTGTTTCGTGAATACGCTCATATAAAAACATCACAGATAAATAAAACCTAGATTTTTATTTTGGTAGTGATGTTTTGGAAGAAATGTCTTAAATGGAACTAATAGGTGTACTTCTGAGGAAATATAAGCCATTAACAAAAACAGGAAAAAATGACTAACTTTCCAATACAATATCGGTGACAACTATTTAGTTGTTAATAGATATGATAAACAAACTTTAGGATAAGTCCCAAACACTAAAGAAAAGCAATTTATTTTTGAGTTTCTAGTTAGATGCTGTAGAATGTCTCAGAATTATAAATGGTGACAGTTTTATTTGCTATCTATTTAGAGATTTTCTTGTACTATTCCCTCTTACAATAGTGCTCCCTTGTCTCAAATTGCGTACTGACATAGACGCCTTATCATTGTTTTATAAACAAACATGCATTCTAAAATAGTCCTTGAAAATATAACATTTGACGGAAATTATGAAACTACATTACCTGTTCAGAAAGACGCTTTCGTACACGTATCATATCATGTTGTGGGATACCTTCGGTTATACAGACAATAAGAGGAATCTGTGCATCAATAGCTTCATGGATAGCAGCGGCAGCATGAGGTGGCGGCACGTAAATAACAGTGGCTGTTGCACCTGTAGCTTCCTTAGCCTCGTTCACAGTGTTGAAAACAGGTAATCCAAGGTGGGAACTGCCTCCTTTACCAGGTGAAACTCCACCCACAAGTTTCGTGCCATAAGCAAGAGTTTGCTGAGAATGAAAAGTTCCTTGTTTCCCAGTAAACCCTTGACATATCAATTTAGTCTTGTTATCCAACAGTATATTTCTGCGAGTACTATTGTAGCATGACCGACGAACCAATCCTATAACTACAGAAACAAGACAATCAGAGAAAGCAAATACAAATATTTTCAAAGCATTCTTTTGCAAATTATTGTTACATCGGTTATGATACTGAAAACTATCTAGCATATCGGGATTTTACCAAATATCATTGCCACTAAAAACTTGAGACATCGGGTGCAATGAGAGATAACTTATGTGGTTCCGTAAACAAAGCATGAAAACAGGAGTGGTAATAAGAAGAAACAGATAAATGACTGGTTTAAAGAAGCTTTGACAATTCAATAATAAAAAAACCGGTTCTAAACAAAGTAGAACCTAGTGCAAATGTACCGGTTCATGATGACACAATATACATTCACATAATGAGAGGAAACTAAAAATATGAAAACTAGGAGTCCAAATGATAGCCAGTGAAACCAGTTTGGAGTCAAGGCTACTTCAGGTTTCCCCGAAAAGAAAGTCTGCATCTTCCAATTAGTTTTAGTTTGACATTCAATGACTGATGTGATTTTTATTCCAGTTAACCTTGACGCTTTGAGACCTACAATTATGTCAACAGGGCATGTGTAACAAATGTTTTGATTACACTGGTTAATAAAGGTTATGTCAAACCAACCCATCAACAAGCGAAGTATGACAAATTTTTAATGAATTCAATTTAGTTGAATTGAACAACAAAATGCAAGAAGTTTGCTTTTTTCACTCGCCCCCAAATGCCCTGGTACGGTCGAGAGTGGGGAGAGTCCGCTCTCCCTCTCAAAATGCTCTCACATGGCCACGCGTATATAGCCTCTGCTAGGGAATTCCTACTCACTACCTTCTCGTGGTGAGGGTGTTGTTTACGAAATTGAGAGGACGAAAAGAGAATGTCTGGCGCTTTAACCGGGTTGGTAGACATGGAGAGTCTACCTAGTGGAGTTGGAAGACCCTGATTCCAAACCAATGGTGTACATGAGCTCCGGTATCCTGAGGGAACAAATGGCATATGAACCAATTATTGGTCACTGGTTACGATAGGACTGCATCTCCTTACGTTGCTTCACTGCCTCGTGGGTCAGACCTTCAGGTCGAAGGCTCCAGGTGTGGTCCCCTAAGGAAACCACCCGCTTCGGTCTGGGTATCCGGGAAGTATCACAGCCCTCATACATATCAAATGAGATGTGTGGCGCATATGTATTTGGTGCCTCCTTGTACCAATATCTATGTGTTGAAATAAATAAATAATAAACTGGTGTTTGTAGCCATTGTAAACATATGGCTTAAGAAATAATGCATCGAAATTGCACTCTGGTATGAAGTCGTAACATAAATTATCGTTGCACTGATGTGAAGCGTTAGCCCCAGTGTAAAAAGAGATATCCTTACATTTTTAGTCAGCTACAACGTAGGACCAGGCACATACATGCATCGGGTCCAAGTTGCCACACCTCATTAGCACAAGACGAACACCAGATTTATAGTAGTTACTTCAATGGTAGTAATACATAAAAGAAAGATTGTGTATAAGGACGAAAGGATTAGTTCGTAGAAATAAAGCTATTTTAACCCCAGGGTTTAAGGGAAGACAAAGAGTGTAAATACCGATACCATCTGTTTTCAAATACTAGTAACTTACGAGTATTTTCTACTCTTAATAGCCACGTTTTGCAGCCGCAAAGTAGAACAGAACGAACTGCTGTGCAATATACTCGTACCCTAATTGCTAGACGGATATCTCGCCTTCGCCATACGTGATGAAAGTTGGCAAAAGCCAAACGAGCTTTCTGAATCCGTGCTGGGATTTAGACAGACATCAACCCATTCGGGCTGATCAGATTTCCAAGATAAGTGTTGTCAACGCGTTCGACTACTTCACTCCCTATCCTCAGTTCAGGTGTTGACGCAGACCAGTCCTGAAGCAACAACTTGCATTTCGAGGAGTAGAAACGCATCCCAAACATCCTGGCATTGTTGCTCAATGCAACTAAGACTCTACATTTTATCAGCGTCTTCACCAAACAGGACTGTGTCATCTGCGTATTCTAAGTCAATAAGTGGACCTCATGGGAGGAAATCAATACCCAGAAATTCAGTCGACGAGAACGTTATTTTTAGCAGTAGGTCTATAATAACATTAAATAAAAATGGAGATAGTGGACAGCCTTACTGAACACTACTTGAGGTTGTAAAATCAGATGACAGTTCGCCATGAGCTCTGACTCGACTAGAAGTATTCGACTAAAGGGCCTTCACAAGGTTTATTTGCTTCTGAGGTACACCTTTCAACGACAGACATTGCCACAGAACCTCTCGATCTACAGAACCAAATATTGCCTTTAAGTCAAGAAAATCTAACATTGTCGGACGCCGATAATCATGACTATGTTCTAGAACCTAACAAATGGTGAGTATGTAGCCGATGCAACCATGACTAGGTCTGAAGCCAGCCTGATTTTCCCGTGTTTGCAGTTCACGAGTCTTTGTTAAGCGTCCGACAATTATTGAGGTTAGTATTTTAGATGCTATATTAGTCAAACTAATCCCTCTATGGTTGTCACAGGATGATTTTGACCCCTTCTTATATATTAGGACGATCAGTGATTGCAATCAATCAGGTGGGATTACTTCCAACTCCCAGATTTTACCTAAAATATTGGTCAACCTAATCGCTAAAACTGAACCACGATTCTTAAAGGCTTCTGGAGGCAATCCATCTAGACCAACTGCTCTTCCTCGTTTCAGATTAGCTATGGATTTTCAAACTTTAATTAGGGTCAGAGGGCCTACTACAATTTCGATCCAGGCTGTCTGGGAATGGCGGGTAGTTGTAGAGTAGCTGAACTGCTCTGCCCATCGTTCTAAACGTCTTGGCTGAGGACAGATAAGTGCCATCTTTTTCCGAGATCGTTTCACTTACAGTTGACTTCTTAATTCGTTTCTTCTATTAACCTGAAAAGTTGCCTAGTGTTACCTAAAGCCACTACCTTTTCCATCTCTTGCTTTCGTTGTCCACCACTGCTCACGGTCGTTCCTTAGACTTGGTTAACCTAGATATGATTTGTTTCCACTCTTTATCATGTTCGGAGCCTAATGAGGTGAGTTAAAGGAAATATGTCAGTGCAATATACTTAGTAGAAATCCAGTTTTTCCGTGACCATTTGGGTTGAATCACTAATAGATGTCGCTGACGTTTCTACAGATGTTCGTATATCTTTTTAAGCAACATCTGGGTCAGCTTCGTTTTCACGATTGCTTAAGCGTGACCTTAGTTGTTCCTGGAATATACTTTTGGCCTTTTCAACCGTTGCTGCTACTTTGAAATGGTGGTCGGGCTTGTCTATCGTAATAAACCAATCGAGCTATACTGGCTGAAACAATAGTTCCTCAAGGTCCTACCATGCCAGACAGGCTGGTTGGGTAGCGGTAAGACTAAAAGCAGCAAGCCCAAGGTCGGAGGGTGAAGTCGCACTGCTGACTGTACAGAGGTGTGACAGCAGTAAGGTGTCCCCTGCAGACAACAGTGATGCTGCCTTTCCTCAAAAAAGGATTTGGTTAGAAAAGACCTTACACACCTCTCCTTATTCCACAGATTTCCGTCTATGGCAGTAAGGTCCCAACAACAACAGAGCTAACACGGAAACTACTCACAAAAAGGTCGTGTGTGACCGGGCTCAAGCAGTTGTCTCTTGGGTACTGCGGTCACGCTCTTAAGACCACCTACAACCCAATTTCCTTTCCGGGTACCCCGAGAACCTTTCCACAGTGTGGGCAACCGGGAAGTGATAACCGCCCTCATACCTTTAACAACACTCAAGATACCCACTTTTACGACAGAGAAATTAGCATAAGCAAGTTTTTAAAAGTTTAGGGTGAACTGCTAAGCGAGACCCGATTGATAATTGAAAACAAAAACCAAGGGCAGTCACGTAAGCTATGTATCTAGTGGTGACTAGATGCTGAATACGAACCAAGTTTTAGAACACAAACTGTTATTTTGAAACCGCTCAGAAATAATATTTCTTTGTTGACTGAGAGGCTGTGAAATTATGTTCAGTGCTAAGGTTCCGAAATAAGAGTTGAAACGTGATAAACTGTGAAACTTGAAACACAGTTTCACTCTGATTACAGACTAGTGTTACTGTCCTACTTAGGTTTTGATTGTATCAGTAACCGGAAACTGCTGAAAAGATTATCGGCATCATTCTGTGGTGTCAGCTATTTATTTTTCATCTACTAACTATTGCGAAGTCCTTACCTAAAGTCGCTTGTCCTATTAGTGACCTGAACTTTATTGGTTGACAAAATTGTTGAGATCCAAAGACAGAGGTATGGCAACTTGGACCGATGCATAAATGTGCCTGGTCCTACGTTGTAGCTGACTGACTGACTGAGACCCAAAGACATCACAACAACCTATTGAGAATTGATAAGTCTTGAATGTGCTTTTACCAATCAACTGAAAACGACATAAGCCCACACCAAAATGTTCCAAATACAAATTTGTAGCTCTTATATGAATTTAAATAAGTTTCTAACTGTTTGTTGTCCTTGTTCAGGTGTAAAAAGCTTTATGGACAGCTGCACGTCCGGAGGTTTTCCAATACCATAACTTTTCATTATATGGATTAATACGGTCCCATATAACCTTATTGATGTTTAATGCTTGTAACCGGGTATAATGCTTCAGCCAGCAATTTAGAAGGGCATAAACAAAACGGGTCCGACTGCATGAAAAGCTTTATAAACTATACCACGCGTTATGTAGGTTCCTATAGGATATCACTACCTTGAAAATTTAGTGTGCAATTCTAATTACATGGTCGAAATGAGGATTTACGGTTGCACTGTTAGTGGTAGTGCTGGGAAGATCACAAACATACTTGGAGCGAAACTACGAACGTTCCGGGAGTTCATCGACGTTCATAAAACGAGCGAATACAAGCAAACACTAAAACAAAAAATCATACTAGGTGGAATGCTTTTGTGTGAAATGATGACATATTTATATTAAGTCTTATTGTTAGACGTAAACGTAATGTTCGTTGTACGACACCGACGATGAGAGCCTTGTCGAAGTAGCTCTCTTCGATCCTATTGGTAGAAAGATCATCGACAAGTTAGACACAAATGTGTCACGCAAATTCACGGTTAGGAAGCGTCTCAGATTCATAATTGTCTTTCTAGGAATGATACTAGAGAATGGATGATCCACGACACGATGATATGGTATTTACATCATCCACAACTGATAAAGACTTTGGAGCTCTTGTTTCTATCAATGGTACAGTGGAGAAACCCCAATCAGATTATTGTAATGAAGTAAACGACAAACTTCGTTTAGCTGAAGATGTAATAAAATGTCTGGCTGAAAGATGTGAAGAACTGGAAAGTTTAAGCGAATATCTTCCATGTGTTAGAAAAGAAATTCGTGGCCAAATCGAACAGAGCATGCAAATGATACAAAGATCTGTAAGTGAAAGACACGACTATCTGTTGAATGAACTTGATTCTTGTTTGAGTGTGAGAAATGAAGCTATAAATAAGTTACATACGGAATTCGAGACTCGACTTCAAAGACTATCTTCACACGTCGATCTTTTGAAAAGACTTTTACATACACAACCCACTAATGAAATCTCCTATCAAACTCAAAAGGTTATTCAAAACACAGTTTCAAGAGATCTTGCTACTCAAAAACATAAAGCTGAGATCGAAAAGCTTATTTCTGCCCCTGTACCTTTGCACCCATCTGAAACTGATACTATGTCATTCTTTCCCACTGATTTAGATCAGGTTTTGTGTATGGTTAAGTGTGTTGGCTCTCTCGGCTTAACTGCAGTTGATGCTCAAAATACGAGCTTATCTGATAACTACTTGGATCATTTTGTCTCAGTCAGACGCTGCCAAGCGAACGAAGAAGTCAAAGTCGATATTATCACTAATGACAGGTTGGGCCGTGCAGTAGCGAATGCATCCAGTAAGGAATTTTCAGTCCTCTTAACTCAGAAAAACATCAGTGAGATGGAGGTTGGAATTCAAGAGAAACAAATATCAGACAGCGGTTCTAGTCTTTCACTTTATAGCAATCACAATGGAAATAACATTCAAGGAAATAATTTACAAGTTGTTTATAAAATTTCTCATCCTGGTTTGTACGATCTTAGAATTAAATTATTTGGTGAACACATAAAAGGATCTCCTTATTGTATAAGTGTTGATACTCCTCCTAAAGCAAGTCTACAAGCAATATCTGAAACAATGAGAGAGATTAGTGAATTACCACGTCGTACACTACACAGAATTCAATCTAGAAGACGTTGTCAGTCTGAACCTGCTTATTCAAATTTATCTGATCAGCCAACAGCATTAGCTGATCTACATAAAATGGAAAGAGGTGACTTTTTATATTCCGTTGGTACAAAAGGAAGAGGTAATGGTGAATTTGCAAACCCATCTGGAATATGTATTACAAGAGAAAATAAAATACTTGTCGCTGATAGTAACAATGCATTTATTCAAGTAAGTTAATTTATTTTTATAAGCTTTTTAATACATTAACAGACATTATTATTATAATTAATATTTATTATTACCGTTTACATAATTTTAAATCTAAATACTTTTATCAGGTCGTCATGTTTATATATACAACGGCAATATGAAAAACACATTTTACTCTATATTGTCGAATTTTATTATAAAATCAGAAATAGTTTTAGAAACAATAGTCGCACGACTTTTGAAGGTACTGTATTTCAATGAATACTTCTATTTTGATTCACTCATTCATTCTGTCAATCAATTAGTCAGTTTATCATGTAATCATTTTTCTTCCTAAAATCTCAGCACTTTAAGCAAGAAGAAAACATTCTAAGCTAAATGAACAATTTAAATACCAGATTGGACTGTATTCATTTGATTTGACTGTTAGCTCACTTAACTACTTATCGTACAAGTACATTCTGAAAGTTTGTTTTTTCATAAAGTATTTTACAAAATATAGCTCTTTGTATTCGATTATGTTTTCACAAATATTTGTGTTATAAGAGTATTCTTGAAAAATATCAAATCCTCTAATTTATAAATATAGTTTATCAATAATTTCCTTAATGTGAACACTGGCGTTGATTAAAGATTATGTTAGATGTTAGATAGTGACAACATATTGATTTTACATTTTAACTAGGGACAACACACAAATACTTATACCCTATAGCCATAAATTCACAATCTAATGGCTTTGCATTAAAAATGAGTTACCAATACGTATTACAAATAATGTTCTAATAAAAGAAAATACTGAAATAAACTAGTTCATATATTTCCCTAATTGAGGTATTGTTAACTTTTTTGTTAATAAAATGAAACCTAGAAACTCAAGAAAGTCCTAGTGTCTAATATAAGATTTCATAATTTAAATTTTATCATATACATAGGGATTTGTAATGCTGAAAAATTATCTTATCTATATGTTCAAGGAGTTCGAATTAACCTTGAAAAGAAAGGTTACCATTTTACTTTAAAATGGGAAACAAACACTTATCAAACATATGGCTTTGTGACCATTGTCAACTGAGTTTTAAATAAAAGTTAGTACTAATGTTGTCGGAAATCATCATTATCTTGATTGAGTCACTAGAAATGCATTTTATTCATCTTTGAAGAATAATACAATAAGTATAGTTCAAGATTGATTTTAAACGTATTGATATAATGGTGAAGTTCTTTGTGCTAAATTTCAGTCTGATGACACAATTACGTCAATAAGTATTTTTGTTGAATAGATAATCCTGTTAAAGTTGTTTTATGATCAGTAAACATTTAGAAACTTTTAACATTAATTTTTTATGACAAACTTATTCTTATGTCTTATCCCTTAGTTCCGATTCTACGTTTCATAGTATGAGTTAACTAATTATTCATAAATTCAAATTTACTGAATATTACCTTATCGCATCCGAACTTTGTAAACTGCTATTTGTTACTAAACATTATAGTTACACTTTAGGGAATTTAAGGCATTTAACAGTCATTCTAATATCTGAATCAACGTTGACATGATTCAGATATTAGAATGCGTGTAAGTCCTAATATCTGAATAATAATATTCACAATATTACGTACATCAGCTTTACATGGAGATAAAACACATTGGTCAAGATTCATTTTGTTTCTGTTCAACTTAGAAAAAAAAGTGTTAATTAAAAATCTTCAACAATCAAATTAATTTATTTTGAAGCTAAAATTAATCTATAACTAGTAAACGTTTTAGTAATCAAATGAACTTAACCACAGATGGCTGTTATATGAATATAACATGTTTGATATCAATTTATACATTTGGACTATTTAAACCCAATGACTCAGTGTATAATACGTTGATGTTTAGAGATAAAGGTATTGAGATCGAGTTCTATTGTGAACAGAATGCAGGTGCATCTAGCTGATGAGTCCTAGTATAAGAAGGAATATGGTAATTAGATTCTACTGCTAACCATCATACAACTTTATGAAAAAAATATAACTAGATAGTAAAGTCGAAGTGATCCTCTCAAGATGTATTTGTACTAAAAAAAACTGACCAATTAAATTTTGTAACACCAACTATTAGAAAATGTAAACCCTCATTGATGTGTTTAATCTATTAATCAGTATATAAGTCGTAGGTTGTATATCTTCATATAGTTAACAGTTAATTTTAAAAACATTGAATCTATGCTTTTTCTGTCTCTAGAGTCTATTTAATTAAAAAAAATAATTCTTCATAAAAACACTGTGATGAATTTTATGTTAGAAGTCTTTTATTTGTATTGGCTGTGATTTTTTTGTATTCTGTATTTAAGCCGATTTTAGGATTAAATGCAGCCGGTTATTGTGTAAATATTTATCCTTCATTTTGATTCATTTTACAATTATCTCGATACACGATCATGTGAGTTTTCCAATGGTAATAACGAAAAAATATTTACATTTCTTACATTTAACCTTGTCTTTAAACCATTGGAATGAATAACAATAATAATGGTAATAATAATAACAATGTGACTTATTTAGAGATGATCGTAGTGTAGTAAAAATTTCCAAAGTATCAAAACAAAATACCACATATAAGAACAAGACTGTCAATATTATATGATCAGTGTGGATTGGGCCTCGAGTCTTCCTTTGTTGGTCCTGGTCGTCAATATATCTGTGAATGATACTTTGTTGTCTGATTAGGTTTTCAATGTGAACTAATATGGTTGAAAATGTTTTTCATCAGATTGCAAGTCTTGTCCATTTAGTCTCTTTGAATGATAATGAATGTATCGTACAGATAGCGTGTTCAAAACTTCGGTTTGATTATCGAGAAGACTAAAGTTTACAGTCTCTGGATACTATTTATGTCACAAATTTAGATACTAATGATCCCACTGGGGTTATTTTCGTTTGTTTGTATATTTAGCCGTTGAATTAAAAATCTGGTGTTAGACACAATTAGATGAGATCAACTAAACTATGATTTCATGTACTTTTAAACTAATACGAGTTTAAGAAGAATAAAGAAATTAACTTGCTACTCATATGAAGTTCAGTAAAAATTCGAAAGACTAAGTTCACAAAATTTAGATTATTAATAGAGGATATTAGACAGAATCATATTTGTAAAGAAAACTTCAGCCATTGAAATTAAATGACTCCAATATTTCTCCTGCTAATCCGGATAACTATTTTCATAAAAAGGTTCTTGGATTTCAAGATTCTGGATACAATATCCGGTTGTGTTATGAGTGCGTACTTTTGATCATTTCCAGCATCAATCAGTTTGGGTGTCTAGTGTTGCTTGGGTTTAGATGATCCATCAATTACAGAGAATCTGTAGAAGAATCCATTCTAGAATATGATCTTAGGTCTCATGATTGTATTCCTTAACTTTATTTTGATGGAGTTTTGTTC